CACACACACACACACACACACACACACACACACACACACACACACACGAATTGGCTTTAGAGGTTCCATCAAGCTCCATCTCATAATCTAGGGTCATCACAAACAGTTTAAGAAGTATTGAAGGGGTCACCAGTGGAAAAAGTTTAAAAAGCCCTAAGGCAATAGAGATTCTTGTCATCCTTAGGTTTTGTTTGTTTGTTTTTTCCTGTGTATATGTTTAGGCCAAATGGTTTGAGTGGCTTGGGAGCTCACCCAGGAGATTCTATAATATTCTGATGCTTCATGCAACTTCCACAATGCCAGCTGAAAATAGTGGTACGTAGAGGGTTTTGCTATCTATAAAGAGGATCTCCATATCTTGGACTATGTGTACCCTTCATTACTGGAGAGAACACATACATCAATGAGTTTACGGATCCATTTGGTATTTTAGTATTATGTTTCATTTAAACTGTAAACAGGCAAAAAACTGTCCTGGAACACATCCCATAGTTCCCCAGTTTCTTCCTTTATTTTGCCTCTTTTTCTTGTCTGTTTTTTCCCTTCCTCAATCTTGAGAAGAGAAACATATGATTAAACATTAGTTCTTGACCAAAGCTCATTAGAACTCATTGAGTTCTTTTTTTGTTCCTTTCTCAAATTATATCTTTTGACATTCTAATTCCCAACTCCACACCCTACAGTTTTTACTCTTTTATCTCAATGTTTCCTTTTAATGTTCAGCTAGCGAATATATCTGGACAAAGCCTGATCCTTCTATTTCATTGGAAAGTGTCTGCAAAAGGAAAAAAAAAATTACCTTACTTCCTAATTGGGGTAGAAGCCCTATGGTAGTATTTATGGTTTCCAGACAAGCAGATACAGCTTTATAATGGCATCTTAGATTCAACATAATTCCTTTCACCTGTCAATATCCATCTTTGGTAATAATATGAATGCAAAATAATTTATGGTCACAAAATACTTTATGTGCAATAATTCATTTGATCTTTGCAAAATCCTTGTGAAGTATATAATACATGTTACTTCATTGAAAAAGGCTTAAATAAGTCTGTAAGCTCATCGATGAGAGTACTCACTCCAATTGGGTTATATCATGTCTAAATCTTCCCATAAATGCAGTGTAATGGGCTAAATCATTGTCTTAAGGATCTTCACTTAGGTCTTTTAACATCAAATATGTATAAGAATTTCAGAGTTGTCCTGGTTCTTGCTACATGATTGCCCACCTCTATTTCTGATCATAAATCTAGATGATATAGATTTAGCCAATTCTTGTATAAGATGCTTTTGGCAATGTTCTGAGCCTATTTTTTCCTCTACTAAATCACTAACAATAGCCCTTTGGGAGACTTGTAATTTTCATTCTTTAGATATCATACTGTTGAGTGAATCACATAATAATTGATATATTGAGTACATCCTTGAGGAAAGTATGAGAAATGATATTCTATATTAGACTCAATCTTTAGAGTCACACAATTTACTGAAGGGTGCCATGGAGAGAAGATTCTAATATACTTATTGTTTATTAACTATTATATTTTTTAAAAAAATTGTATTTGATAAAGCAAAATACAGGTTTAAATATTTTCCTCCAAGGAAATACCTTATGAGCAAATTTCAGTGGTGAGTATGTGGCCATGGGCAAGTCATTTGAACTTTAAGTGTTCTAAGAAACTTTCAAATTATCAGTTGCAGAGAGGGTACTGAATTGCATTGATGGAAGGAGTTTTCTTTCTTTTCTTTTTTACTTTCTTTTTAAAAATCATTTACTTATTTTTAACATTCTTTCTTTTTAAATTTTGAGTTTCAGGTTCTCTCCCTTTTCTCAACTTCCTCCATCCACTAAAAAGGCAAACAATATAATATCAATCATACATGTGAAATCATTCAGAACATTTCCATATTGCAAAAAAAAATGAGAAAATTATACTTTAATTTGCACTCAGCATTCATCAGTTCTGTTTCTGGACATAAATAGCATTTTTTTTTCATCATGAGTCCTTTGGAATTGCCTTAGATCACTGTATTGATCAGAGTAGCTAAGTGTTTCACAGTTGATCATCATTGCAATATTGTTGTCACTATACACAATTATTTTCCAGTTCTCACTTCATTGTGCATCCGTTTATATGGATCTTACCATGTTTGTTTGTTTTTTTTCTGAGACCACTCCCCTCATCATTTCTCATAGAACAACAGTATCCTATCACAATCATATACCACAACTTGTTCAGTCATTCTCCAATTGATGAGCATTCCCTCAATTACTAATTCTTTGCCACCACAAAAAGGACTGCTATAAATATTTTTTTTTGTACATATAGGTAGGTCTTTTTTCCTTTTTCTTTGATCTCTTTGGGGTACAGACCTAGTAGTAGTAGTAGTGGTAGTAGTAGTAGTACTTGAGCAAAGAGTCTGCACAATTTTATAACCTTTGGGCATAATTCCAGAATGTTCTCCAGAATGATTGGACCAGTTCACTACTCCATCAACAATTCATTAATATAACTATTTTTCCTAATCTCTTCCAGAATTTGTCATCGCTGACAAATATGAATTTGTACCTCAGAGTTATTTTAATTTGTCTTTCTCTAATCAATAGAGATTTAGAGTATGTATATATATATATATATATATATATTTATTTATTTTTATATATAGATAGCTTTGATTTCTTCTGAAAACTGCCTTCTGAAAACTATCCTTTGACCATTTATCAATTGGGGAATGGCTCTTATTTTTTTATACATGTGACTCTATTCCCTACATACTTGAGAAATGAGACTTTTATATCAGAGAAACTTGGTATAAAATATTTTGATATTATTTCATTGTCTATGGTATCTTTTATCAAAATGTAGTTTCCTGAATTTACTCTTTGAATTACGTCTAATTTTTGCTTTTGATTTGTCTGAGATTACGGTTGCTACTTCTGCCTTTTTTTTTTACTTCAGTTGAAGCATATTACATTTTGCTCCAGTCCTTTATTTTGTTTCTTTCTGTTCCTAATTTTTCTCTTGTCTGCAACATATTGTTGGATTCTGGTTTCTGATCCATTCTATTATTTGCTTCTGTTTTATGGGTTAGCTCATCCTATTCACATACATAGTTATGATCACTGTGTATTTCCCTCTATTCTATTTTCTTCTGCTTATCCTCTCTTTTTATCATATCTTCACAAAAATCTGTTCTATTTCTGACCAAGGGAGTTTTCTAATTCAGAATTTCCTTATTAAAATTTAATCACTGGTGTAGTAATCCCTGTCCTTATCTCTATCACTTTTATTGCAGCTTTCAAACTTTGTTTTACCTTAAACAAGTTGGTCCTTAAGTCTACTTTGCTTTTAGCTGAAATTTCTTCACTTTCCTTATGTACCTCTGTTAGTCCTGTATAAGTTTTATGATTTCATTAATATATATAGGTTTATACATGTGTTCAAAATATGTTTATTTTATCTGTTCTTTGTCTTTCTCAAAGAACTTATGAGTAACAGATAGTAGAAACTTTTTTCTTTTAACAAAACATAAGTGTTTGAAAATATTAGGCAAGCAACATTATCCCTAA